AAGAATGATATAAATAGGCCTAGACATTTTTCATTTAAATGACAAATTTAGATTACAAACCAAAAACACTGACCGAATCCTTTTAAGAACCGGCTATTTAGTATAGATTAAGAATAGGCTGTTTTTTTCCAATCATATTTTTTTCCTTTTGTCAAATAAAAACAGCAGGCTACCGCAAATTGATTGATCCATGGAAAATATGCATTTAATTAATGCTCCACTCTAATTATTATATCACAAACCTGTCTCACCATTTTTAATAGAAGTCATTATATTTAAGATTATGTTATGAGCTGCAGATTTTACCTTAGAGCTTCTGTGCTTTCATTTCATTCCGTCTCATTCATGTTTCTAGAGTTTCCACTTAGATATGCTTGGCGTTTATAGCAGGTTTAGCATGCTGTCCCGGGAGAGAACCCCGAGCTCGGAGATACTTGAGCCCAAGGCTCTTGCCCGGTCAATAAGCATAGAAGGGGGATCCGAGATCAAGTAGGTCTCGAGAGCTCCCCCTCAGAAAAGGGAGGAAAAGGAGGAGATGGGGTGGAAGGGAGGATTCTTCCAAAACGAAGATACTGTAGAGTAGTAGGGAGAAAACGATTAATTTATAGTAAGCTTGGATCATTCTGATTGGATTATTACTGATTACAGATGAGAAGCCAGTCGTGCTCAATCATATCACGTGCTCCTCACGAAATTAGTTTGTGAAACTTGTCTTTGGTCAACGGTTAATCTGAGCATCCCTAGTTTGTAGAGATTATATAAGATGTTGCGGTATGTGACTTTATTAAGTCATAGACTGTATTAAACAGAAACAGTTGAACGCAATATCTTCAGTAATATGCAAATTGATGATGTCATTTCGTGACTTTTAGCTTAGCTGCTTTCTATTAAAAATAGTTGTCAACATTTTTTAAGTGTTTCTTTCTTCTCATGTGATTCCGAGCAAATGTTAAACTCCATCAAAAGAAGCATGAAGTGCTGATGATATCACCCTCTTATTTCATGCTTGTGCTGTGGTAGTTTGGGGAGAGCTGTGTTTAGTGGTGTTTGGGTCAGAGTGGGGTGGATGTGTAGGTGCTTATTTGGATTTTTGAGTGGTCAGGATGTTTCAGATGGACCCGTAGGAGCCATTCAAACACAGGTGATCAAAGTACTTGCTGAACTCGGCTGCCAAGGTCAGACTGACCATTACTACAGCCAGAAGACATAGTTGTTCCTGGAAACCTTTTCAAATGAGTACATTTTCCATCTAAGAAGCATATTCTCTGGTGGTAAAGATGGTTATAATTACTCAAGGGTAGCAGTAAATCTAGTTTTAACACTCTCCTGTGTCTATTTTACTGCATCTTAGTCAGATTTTTCATTTTTAAACACACAAAAAAAGCGTCAATAGCCAAGATTTTGATTATTAGTATAAAATTTGAAAACATTTTTCTCTATATTTTCTTTTTTTGCACAATTTTATTTATTTATTTATTTATTTATTTATTTATTTATTTATTTATTTATTTATTTATTTATTATTTATTTATTTGTTTATTATTAATTAATTAATTAATTTATTTATTTGTTTATTATTTATTTATTTATTTATTTATTATTTATTTATTATTTATTTGTTTATTATTTATTATTTATTTATTATTTATTTATTTATTATTTATTTATTAATTAATTTATTTATTCTTATTTATTTATTTATTTTTATTTATATTTTTCATTTTTTACGTGGTTAGTCGTAAATGATCATCAAACAGCACTAGAACAAATACAATAAGCGTCTGGCAAACACAGGACCAATACTAATCTGCTCTGTCGGGATATGTTGTTTCATCAAACATCTTATATCTTAAATGATGTGTCTCTGAAACATTAGAGATAGATGGATTGGTTATTTTGTGCTATATAAACATAAATTGGCACCGGTACAGCACAGAGCACATGGTCATATTTGTTCAGAAGATGGCTTTGCCCGTCTGTAGGTTGTTAGATCTTTATTTCATTTGTCAGACATCTGGACTCGCAGATTAGATTTAGGTTTCTCTGTTGTCACGGCGATATCGTGTTACATAGACTGAATCAACATGTCCGTCCACAAGCACAGAAGCAGAAACTGTGTTATTTTGCCATTCAGAGCTAGATAATTGAACCATTATATGTGGCCTTTTGGTGTACTTTCAAATCATAAATGCATATCTGAAGAAACAAAATGCAGATATTCATTTAATAAAAGGTTATGCGAGTTTACTTGTGCATTTGGAAGTACACTCTCACACACTTTTTAAGGTTAAATAATGTGTTTTAAAATCGTATTTAATTTTACTTAATTTATTATGTTTAATATATTTTCTGCAATCAAAAGAATAACAGTTCTAACTTATTTAGGTTGATTTGAAAGGTTTTAATGTTTAATGTAAAGAATTATATGTCAGTAGCCTGGGGAAAAGTATAGTTGAAGTCAGAATTATTTTTCAACACATTTATAATCATAATAGTTTTAATAACTAATTTTTAATAATTCATTTTTAATAACGGATTTTTATTTTATCTTTGCCAGGATGACAGTAAATAATATTTGACTAGATATTTCTCAAGACACTTCTATACAGCTTAAAGTGACATTTAAAGGCTCAACTAGGTTAATTAGGCAGGTTAGGGTAATTAGGCAAGTTATTGTGTAACAATAGTTTGTTCTGTAGACTATGAAAAAAATATATAGCTTAAAGGGGCTAATAATTTTGACCTTAAAATGGTGTTTAAAAAAATTAAAAGTGCTTTTATTCTAGTCGAAAGAAAACAAATAAGACTTTTTTCCAGAAGAAAAAATATTATCAGACATACTCTGAAAATGTCCTTGTTTAAAAAATATTTTAAAAAGAAAAAAATTAAAGAGGGCTAATAATTCTGACTTCAACTGTATAATGTTAAATATACTCTAAATAATATAAATCTAAATCAGAGACTGATTTAATGATGTTTTCATTACCTTTAAAGTGTAAGTTGCAACACAGTGTCACCGACTCGGTCCCAGTCATTCCCTTCGTTGGCCAGCAGAGGTCACCATCACCGGACTATTGACATTACGTCACCCACTTACACTGATTGCAGACACACCTGACACGCATCCAGCACTTAGATCTGTAAAGTGTGAGTAAATATATTAGTTAAGGGTTAGTTATTAGCTTAAGCATGTTATTGGGACATTATTCTAGTTGCAACTATTCCTCATTTACTAACAGTTAATAAATGAAAAATAGCTGCAACTTCAGAATAACGTCCCAATAACATATATACACTATTAACTGATACTTAACAAGTCTTTATTAAGTTATTTCCTAACCGCTTGTTCATGATCTATTACTAATTTATTAGGTATAGATATAAAAAATTAAAATACAGTTAAGAAGTCATTTACAACTTGTTAACTAACAGCTTGTAAGTTATCCATTAGCCATCTATAAGGCACAGATATAAATAATTAACAAACTATTAACTTTTATTTAACAAGTCATTTATAACTTGTTAGCTAACAGTTTATTAATGGTCTATTAACTAGTTATAACGGATAGCTATTCTAAAGTGTTACCGAAATCGGTAAGGGGCCAAACACTTTTTCACACTACTGTACATTTACATGATACTGGAATTGGATTTAGAAGCAAATATTATCGTTTGACCTCCCTTACATTGGTCTCTAAAACGAACAAAACAAAATGTCGAACCTTGAAAACGCAATTTAAAGTGACTCCCAGTGTTCTTAACACTACTTTACAAATCTACAGAGAAAAAAACAGCACGACTACACACACAGACAAACAGTATGGCTTCCTGTGCCCTTTGCTTTTTCCAAATTAAGATGCATTCAAAAGCAGTTCTAGATGTGTCTTCCCATCAGCACACAGTTGGAGAGGGAATGATCTGTTTGTGTTTGGGTGGGTGGTGTACAGTTGACTCTGAAGGGTGGGGTACGGATGGGGCTTTGGTGACTGCAGTATTTTGGGGGAGTTCCATACAGCAGATGTGTGAAAGTAGGGCAGTTGTAGAGGACAGAGATTGTGTAAGAGGTGGAGGTCTGACCTCACCACATGTTAGAGTTTACGCACACACGTGTAGATGCTGTGTAGGTTTGCTTTTAAACCACACACACAGAGACTCGCAGTGCAAAGGGATTCTGTGCTGACAAGAAAAAGGTGGATTATTTTTGTTGATCTGTGACATGATTGTTATTGTAAGTGAATTAACAGTCATGAAGCTCAAGGGTGTGGAGTTTTGTGCTGCGTATTCAAGTGTGAAATTACTGAAAAAATACCAAAATAATGCTTCAGTTTAGATCATGATATCTGGGAATTTAGAATCAGACAAAAACAAATTTATAGAGAGTAGGATTGGACACATTTCTTTCTTTCTTTCTTTCTTTCTTTCTTTCTTTCTTTCTTTCTTTCTTTCTTTCTTTCTTTCTGTTTGTTTGAACGTTTTCTTGTTCTTTGTTTTATTTTTTTCTATTTTCTTTCTTTCTTCAATTTGTTTGTTCATTATTTCTTTTTGTTTTAACTTGTTCTTTCTTAGATTTTTTCTATTTTCTTTCTTTCTTTCTTCAATTTGTTTGTTCATTATTTCTTTTTGTTTGAACTTTTTCTTGTTCTTTCTTTGATTTTTTTCGATTTTCTTTTGTACTTTCTTTACTTTCCCATTGTTCTTCCTATTTTTCGTTAATTTTTTCTTTCTTTTTTGTCATTTTCTTTCTTTCCTTCGTACTTTTTTTTACAGAGGCACACAAGTATGTTTGTCATAAACAGGATTAATATATTATTTAAGGAATCTGGTAAACCCCAAATCTTAAATGTTAGCCTGTTTTTAAAGCGTTTAAAACCACCTTGTACTTTCTAAATGTTTTGTCTGTCTTATTGTAATTTTCCTTTTTCCAGTTAGACTTTTGTTTGTCTGATAGCTTTGGGACTTAAAGGACTTATTCTTCATTCTCTCTTTGTGTCTGTATACAGAACTCCATGAACTTGCCTCCAGACAAAGCAAGATTACTACGGCAGTATGACAACGAGAAGAAATGGGAACTCATTTGTGACCAGGTAAAACACTCTTTCCTCCTTATCTTCATTCTCACGCTCTTTTTGTTTGGGTTGTGAATGTTTTGTCCATCCATTTGAAAGTCTTTGGGGTTCATAGCAACAGACACTTTCAATAGCAACTGCAGAGTCCCCATATGGTCATGGAATTTTTGAAATATCATGGAAATTTTAAAAGGTATTCCAAACATTGCAAGTCAAGGAATTTAGATATCATGTATTGTCCAAGTGATGGAATAGCAGGGAATTTTGTTTGACTCTTTACATTTTAGGTTTGTTATCAAAAACAAATAATAATAACAATAATTATAAACTGTATTTTTATATTCCATTGATTTACACCTGTCTGTATAGTTTTGTTATTTATTTTTGTTCCTTTCAAGCTCATTAGCTGGCAATTGCTAAAGTATATGCAATATGTAAGTTAGCTAAGGCTAACTTGGCAGGATAATGTCAATCTTAAGAGCTGTTGGCATCAAAATGACTTCAAAGATGGTGGAGCTTCATTCCCAGCAGGCACAGGAAGCCAACATGACGTCAGATTGACATTGTACCCCAACATCATCAGACATTGCATTTTGTTTGGAAATGAAAGTCGAGTTGACGTCAGAACCCAACGTAAGGTTAACTTCAATTTCCAACTTCAGATAGACTTTACATTTTGGACTGTGGAGGAAACCCACGCAAACACGGAGAAAATGCAAACTCCACACAGCCAACTGACCTGGCCGGGACTTGAACCAGTGACCTTCTTGCTGTGAAGCGACAGTGCTAACCACTGAGCTACCGTGCTGCCACATATTATTTTAATGTTACATTTATATAAGCACAACAGTGGCCTGTTTTCCTATTCATTTATTGTAATGGAAATTAACGTTTTTTGTTGAAATCAAGGAATTTTGATCCTATTTGTCTTAAATTGGGAACTTTATCATGCAAATGACAGTTTTTTTTTAAATGCACAATTTTTACAGCTTTCATTGGCCAATGTGCTTTCCAACAAACCAACAGAAAACAGACAGACAACCACAAACAGATTAAAGATGAAAGAGTAATGTCTTCATGCCTCCTTAAAGTCAAATACCTTTGAGAACGCTAGTCTTAAAGCGGTCGATGGAAGAAGGTGCTTGTCTTATTGATGGTGGTAAGGCAAATGTTTACAACTCTGCAAAAACCCATCACATGATGGCTGAATTTTATTAATAAGTGCATTTCAGCATTGTTGCTCTCATGCAGCATGAAAAAAACCAGTAAGTGCCAGACATTTGAATTAGATTGTACCAAGCATTTCAGTGAGACAAGTGTAGGCATATCTGTGCTACATTGAGTCATTGTTTGTTCATGAGGTGACCTTGTGTCTTTCCAGACATAACATTTAGTGTTTACCTTTTCCACAAGACGACAACAAAACTTGCCTGTCTGTTTTTAACACTCTTGTTCCTGTGTTTATTTCATCCAGCCAGTGCTACTGACCCAATTAAAAATAATATTGAACTTTGCATGTAGATCATCATGAGACCCTACAGAATTTCTTTTATATTTATGGATGCTGCCTCGTTGAGATATATTGACCGTTATATTAGCCAAGTTACTACTACTACTACTGCTGACAGTGACATTATTATTTTGCTTTTAATGCACTCCAGACTGTTTAATGTTGTTCACATACACACACACACACAAACATACTTGTATATATGGTTTATGAGGACTCTCCATTGTCGTAATGCATCTTATGGCCCGTTTCCACTGACTAGTACGGTACGGGTTGGTATGGGTCACCTTTATCAGGCTTGCATTTCCACTACCAAGGATACTCTTTTGGTGGGCGTGGTGTTTGACAAAGTTTCAGTCGACATCATTCTCGCTCGAATAAATGTCTACAGTAAAGCTACACAGGTCGCTCACATATCATATGAGAGGCACTTCTCACAAAACAGATGCTTTATACATATAAATGCTTGTGTATAAATGTTAATTACTAACTTTTCTATGAACATAATGTTTTTTTTACATGAACTCCAGTGCAAAATAGCCTACTGTAATGTCTTCAATTATATAAAATAAATAAATGCAACATATATAAACACATACAGACCCTTACAGTCTCCGATATGTTACTAATGGCAGAAAAACTACATACAGCATACATTTAGTCCTTATTTGGGTTCAAAAACAACACCCAACATAGCCCACAGTCAGTGCAAACCTCTCATCTGTGTCTGTAATCTTAACCAGCACATGTAAGCTCTGTTAGAGAGTAATTCTGTCATTCTGAGTTCAAAATAGTCCAAAAGCTGATGATAAACATGGCAGTTTGTTCGTGATTCAGGTTGCTGAAACAATTTGATCCCGTGTTTTGTCGGCCTTCTCCTTTGTTTGTTTTCTCTTCATTCTCGCGTTTGTCCTTTTCTTTTCTGAAAGGATTAGATGTCAAAGACACTTAAATAATCACACACACGTTATTATCATCAGCTCAAGAAGTTTGTTATATCAAATATAGATCGTGAGCTCCCTGGAGAAAGCGAAAACCACTCGCACTTTTAGGCAGCCTCGTAAGACAACAACAGGACATGGCAGATTCTGTTCTTCTTGGCTTTGTGGCTGTACATCAAGACAACAACAAGGTTTGCTTGAGTTCGGGTCATCCATGGCTCGTTATTATATGCATATAGTATTATAGTGTAATGTCTCGGCTGTGTATTTAAAACCTGGCGGTTCCTTTGTTTTCATTCTGGCTAGCTCCACAAGCTTGTGACGTATCTCTGTAACCAATCAGCATACAGCTGCTCGTGTAGCTCCACCTTTTGTTAACTGTTCTTGTGTTTTGGTACCCTTTCGAAAGGGTTCAGAAAAAGTGGTGCGGTACGGTTCGGTACGCTTTTATGGCGTTTCCACTGTCAAAAGTCGTACTAAACCACTATTAGGCTAACAAAACACGAGAAAGGGTACCAAAAGGTGGAGCTACAAGCACAGCTGAACATACTGTACCATACTACTCAGTGGAAACGGGCCATTATATTGTAAAAACACTTATTATATGGTCTTACCCTACACCTAGCACTAATCCTAACCCTCACAAGAAAACCTATGGCAGTATTTAAATGTCAAAAGACCCCATTAAGTATCATTTTTAAGGACACAAGCCATGTCCTCATAACCCACCTTAACAGCATAAAATAGACTAGAATATATTATAAACCCACGTCAATGTCATTAAACAACTGTGTGTCCTCCTAAACCACATAAACAAGTAAGTACACACACACAGAACCACAGACTGCCACATGTTAAGTGTCACTGTGATATCAGTGTTTTGTGTATGTGTGTGCATGTGCAGAGGCCTTGTGTTGTTTTCAAGGGAACTGAGTCTCTTCCTATTTCCTGTTATGGGCTGTGGTTGATTGGCTGTTGCCAAGCACAACTTCCAAATGACTGAGATAATTGCATACAGATTTGATTTCAAACATAAGTGAAGGATTAGTACTGTATGCTTAATTTTTTATACATTATTGGTGTATTATAACCACATTGCTATGACTTCAGTCATTTAGCAATCCTTTTGTGTGTAGAGATTAATGCATATGGATAAATTGTACAATGCCTTCACGTTTTAGTGATGTCTTTATCTTTCTATTCCAGGAACGATTTCAGGTGAAGAATCCACCTCACACATACATCCACAAGTTACAGAGTTATCTGGACCCGGCCGTGACCAGGAAGGTAAGTTCTGAACTCATTACCGTCATTCCAAAGTGTGTTATGATTAAGTTTGTTGCCCTCACATGCTGTCTCTAAGGAAACAGTTGGATATCTGGGTTTATACAACAGTTCTGTCTGGTTCTCGAATCTGATTGGCTGATAGCCGTGATATATTTAAATAATATCAGCACCCGTACAGCCTCTTTACCCTTTGTATATTACTCCACCCACATACAGCCAGCAAAAAGCAGACACTACAGATCTAAAGTTTAAAAGATGCTTGCTCAGCTGTTTAACTGTCAGCTTATGATTTGAATCCAACACGGAAGAAAGTAGTTCCTCCTACAAAAGAGTTTTTGAGATTCTCCATGTTTGATTTAGTTTTTTTTATACACAATTATGCCGTCAAACTGTTGCATAAACACAAAATCACACTTGTAGCAGTGCGATATGGCTGTATATCGGCACTGGTGGGGGCACTCGGCCTGTGGCCTGTGTGCTACGAGTGTGATATTGCTCATATACAAAATCAATAAAAGCGTTATATTTTCTGCAAGGGTAATACTTTTTGCTAAGATAAGACATACACACATGGAAATTGTGTTTCTTCGTTCTTTAAATTACTCTCTAAATTAGCTCTGTGCATGTTACAATGTATCTCCAAGCGGAATTTCCCATCATGTTAGGGACACTCCCACCTGAAAATGTAAGTGACGTGTGCCGCATTTCAGTGCATGAAGCCCACATCGTAAATTCTATTTAATGCTATTCCTGTTTAAACAAATTTCATAAGATTTTGTTTTTGAAACATTGAACCTCAACGCGTGAAGAGAACTCGCGTGGTAGGTCTGAGAAGTGCCTCATCTGAAGAGGTAAATGAAAGTTAGGATGCGCAATTTAAGACTTCCTTCTCAACGGTAAAACTCTATTATGATGTATTAAAGACAAGTGTTATTCGGTTATCGATTATTTCTTAGAACTAAGTCATTCTAGGAATTGTGTTGTCTGTAACGTTCTCATTGTGCTGCATCTGTGGATTGTTTCAAAGTAAAAACATCATATTCCTGCTGTCTGTTTCTTTTTTATATTAATCAAACAACAAAAGATAGGGAAATCACTCTCTCTGCTCTTGACTGAATAGCTATATAGCTCAATTATGGTTCATCTTTATTTATTTTGTACAGTAAAGTTTATAAACAGTAGTCAGTGTTATATTTGGTTGTACTATTTAGTTTATTTAACTGAAAACTACTCTTAGATTCCTGAAAAAACTCAAAAGCACTGTTTATTTTATTAGTATTTTTGCTACATTGTATTAATTTATTTCCCAGTGATGGGTTGCAGCTGTTAGAGCATCCGCTGTGCAAAACATGTGCTGGATAAGTTGGCGGTTCATTCCTCTGCGGCGACCCCTGATTAATAAAGGGACTAGCCTAAAAGAAAATGAATAATTGGATGTATTAATTTGCTCTTTTGCATTTAGATGTTTTAAATATTTTTTTTTTATATTTGAGTGTCCTGTTTTTTTTATTTTTTATTTTTTTAACTGAACCTATAACACACTGAACCATACTAAAACCATGACCCCGAAACTGAAAGCTTTACCGTTGCACCCCTAATAGGTATCAAACAATACACCATGCATTACACCACTGATTTACAATGATCCACACTCTGTCTTATTATGGCCGGACGCCACCTTCATTCTCAGCAATATGATAATGATATACTGATATGGAAATGTGAGGGTCTAAAGTATTTCAATAAAAAAAAATACAGACAGGATTCACTTGTTTTACCACTATTGATTATTTCTGCATATCAGAGCAATGTTAAACTAGTTTTAGTTGCTTAAATGCACTTTCTACAGCTTTAAAAGCATCACCTGCATTTATGAACAAACATCAGTTATGTGGTTGTCCACCCCCTACACACGTAGATCCCTATATATATATATATATATATATATATATATATATATAATATATGACACCAGAAGTTTACATCCATTCTAAAAAAGGAACATAACCATTTTTTTTTAAATTGTCTGGTGTTAAATCATACTAAACGTTTACTATTTTAGGTCCGTTAGGATTGCCTAAATGTTTTACATTTGCTAAATGCCAGAATAATGAGAGAATCTTTTTTTGAGAATTTTTTTATTAATTTCCTGACAGTAAATCGTTTATATACATTTCCTTGGTGTTTTTTAGCTTTGCTATTAACTGTATAACTTTGGTCTAATGTTTTGGGTATCCTTCCACAAGCTTCTCACAATAGTTTAAAGGAATTTCGCTCCATTTCTCCTGACAGAATTGGTGTAACTGAGTCAGATTTGTAGGCTCAAATTTGCTCACACAAGCTTTTTCAACTCTGCCCACAAATTTTTTTATAGAATTGAGCTCAGGGCTTTATGATGGCCACTCTATAACATTCACTATGTTGTCCTTAAAGCCCATTTTAACTAATTTGGCAGTATGCTTAGGGTCATGGTCTGTTTGGAAGACCAACTTGTGGCCAAGTTTTAATTTCCTGGCTGATGTCTTGAGATGTTGCTTCAGTATTTCTACATAAAGTTTTCTCTTCATGATGCTATCTATGCTGTCAAGTGGACCAGTCCCTCCTCCAGCAAAACTGCCCCACAACATGATGCTGCCGTCCCCATACCTCACAGTTGGGATGGTGTCCCTAGGCTTGTAAGCTTTCCCTTTGTCCTCCAAATGTAACACTGGTCATTATTGCCAAACAGTTCAATCTTAGCTCCATCAGACCACAGGACATGTCTCCAAAAATAAGTCTTTTCCCTAGTGTAATTTAGCTAATTGTAATCTGACTTTTTTATTGATTCTGGTTTGTTGATTTTCCCATGTTGTCACAAAAGGAAGCAGTGTGTTTGAGGTTTTCCTTAAATACTATTCTACGGTTGTGCCTCTAATTAACTCAAATGTTGTCAATTAGCCAATCAGAAACTTCCAAAACCTCGACACCATCATCTGAGCGTTTTCAGAGGCGGAATAATCTTATTGTATGCAAACTTGACTTTCAAGAAAAGTTATAACAATTTCTCAAAAAAAGTCTCTCTCATTATTCTGCTATTAAGCACAACAGAAACAAATGTGATAATCTTAACTTACCTAAAAGAGAAAAAGTTCAGTCACATTAACATCTGACTTTTTTTTAAATGGTTATGTGCCTTTTTATACAGTGTACACTTCTGGTTTCCACTGTATATGTTGTATTTAACAGCATTATATACAACATTTTATTGTCACTAACAGTAGCAGCATTACAACAACAGAAACTGTCATTTGCATGATTACTCCTTACTGAAAAAGAGTAATTCTGTTAACAATGCTGTTTATTTTTTATTGCCATATAATTTCCAATCACTGCTTAGCACACAACAGGAGAAATGTGGGATGTGGGACACCACTGAGTACATCTGAAGATAGTCCCAGAGAAAGTAGAGGACGAATACATAAAAGCAAAATAAGAGACAGGGAGTTACGGCTGTACATTCTGGCCGCCGCTCTTTTTTTTTTTTTTTTTTTTTGCAGACGTGAACAATTGTTACTTTGTGTGTGCCGAGAGCTTTACATGCGGTGCATTCCACACGCGGCTCTCGGCCAATCAGAATGCAGCAGGAAGAGGGTCATTCCAGAGGGTCCTGAAGAATGTCTGTGCCATTGATTCCATTCCAGGATGACCTCTCTGGAGGACTGCTTTCTTTTTTCCCCATTCTCTTTCCTTCTTTTTTTCCCCCTCTCCGCAGCTGGGAATGCTTAAAGTTGAGGTGGGACATTGAGCTTTTGCACAAACGCACACTGAAAACACACTGCGCTCCACATGTGCCAAACACACCCACGCTGGGAACAGAGCACACACTCACACTCTTACACTATACTCACTTTTTTTTTCAGTTGGTTTTATGCATCCGTCTCTTTCGCTTTGTCTGGTTCTGTTGCTATTTACATAGTAATTAAGATTATAATTAGTGTGTATCAAAGAGGAGTATTTTATAATAGTAAGCTAACAGTGCCAAGGTTATATAATTGTTTGGTCACCGCTTACATCAGGTGATCGTACTCATCGCAGTGTACGATGACTCAAGATTTGTTGTGTAACTTCTTTTATTTTGAAATAATTTCATTCCTTTACTTTGAAAATACAAAACTTAATGTAAAGTCTGAATTATTTATCAGAATTGAATTATCAGCCCCTCTTTAAATTTAGTTTTCTTTTTTAAATATTTCCCAAATGATGTTCAACAGAGCAAGCAAATTTTCACAGTATGTCTGATAATATTTTTTCTTCTGGAGAAAGTCTTATTTGTTTTATTTTGGCTAGAATAAAAGCAGTTTTTAATTTATTTAACAACATTTTAAGGTCAAAATTATTAACCCCTTAAAGCTGTATATTTTTTGATAGTCTACAGCACAGGTGTCAAACTCAATTCCTGGAGGGCTGCAGCTCTGCAGAGTTTAGCTTTAACCCAAATTAAACACACCTGTTCAAATTAATTGAGTCCTTCAGGCTTTTTTGAAACCTAGGGGTAAGTGTGTTGAAGCAGGGTTGTAACTAATCTGTGCTGAGCTTTGGCCCTCCAGAAACTGGATTTGATACCTGTGGTCTACAGAACAAACCATCATTATACATTTACTTACCTGATTACCCTAACCTGCATAGTTAACCTAATCAACCTAATTTACCTAGTTAAGCCTTTAAATGTCACTTTAAGCTGTACTGAAGTGCACTGTATTTAAATATCTAGTAAAATAGTATGTACAGTCATCATGGCAAAGATAAAATAAATCAGTTATTAGTAATGAGTTATTAAAACTATTGTGTTTAGAAATGTGTTAAAAAAAATCTGCTCTCCTTAAAATAGAAATTGGAGAAAAAAATAAACAAGGGGCTAATTATTCAGGGGGGGCTAATAATTCTGATTGTTTTTTAACTGGATATATAAGTACACCCCTCACAAATCTCTCATTTGAATTAATTTTTTTATAGGAAGCTTT